TATATATCTGTCTATCAGTTCGTCCGCCTGCCTGTTTACCTGTCTGTCTCCGTTATTCATGAACATTTGCAGAGTGTTTGTGGAGAATCTGCGTGTTCATATAAAACAGTTTTTCTTTGGGTGGGAGAATTCAGTGAAGAGAAATTCACTCGATTTGATGACTCGCGATTTGCTGGAAGAAAACTTGAACACTTTCAGAACCTTGCAAGAGCTCTAAATTTAGAGCTTCAAATCATACCGGAAGCTGAATACCGCTGTCCCATCCAGAAGTAGCAATGGGGTCAAGAAGAGTAATATTATTTTAAAGGACCGTGAACATTAAAGTCAGGTCCACAGCACTCAAAAGTCTTTTGCGATACATTACTCTTTTATCCACCCGTTGTTACAACCTATGGGAGTTGAACTTTGAACTTGGAGAAGATCCCGCTTCTTAACCCTCTTGGAACCATATACTATAGGTCTCAGCAGGTCAGCACAGCAGAACCAACATGGAGGCCAACTGATGGCTTCCCAGAACCGAATTATTTCAGTTTTCCAGAGGTTCATGGGGGTGCAGCAAAGAAATTGCTTTTGTTTAGATCAAAGCGATGTATTTCAATGAAATTCCACATTCAAAGACGTAGGACGTCAGTATCTAACTTTAGAGTGGAATATTCGTATTTCAAAGCCTACACTAAAGACGGGTGTGTCAGGCCGGTAAAAGCCAGTATGGCTCTACAGCGGGAAAGTCGATAAAAGCAGGTATGGCTCAAAAAAAGGTCAAATCAACTAACAATGATATAAGTGACGTTAAACAAAATACAATTCAATTTCACAATTTTAAACTTTTTTTTCGGTTTGTTCGGCAGATCTGAAGTCCCGGTCGAGCGTGCCATCTGTCCAGGCTGACGATGCGGCGGTGAGGAACATAGAGCTCCGGGACAAAGTGGCTCGTCTGGAGGAGGAGAACAGGGGTCACGCAGACAAGATCAAAGGCTTGACCGACAGTCTGCAGCGGTTGTCACGTGACACCAGGAGCATCGCCACGTCACCGATGTCACCTGGTGAGTTTGTGTTAGACTGTAAAACTGTGAGTGTGTGTGTGTGTGTGTGTGTGTGTGTGTGTGTGTGTGTGTAG